TTCTGATTCCCCAAATAATCTCATATTCATATTTTATCTCTTTCTCTGTATCTCCTCCACCTCTGAATCTCAGTCTCTCTTTCACATAAACATAACTCAGGCTTGATTTGCAGGCTAAAGTATATACCCCAAGCAACATATTCCCACTAACCCTTTCTCCAACCTTGGGTCAGGAGTCCAAATTAAATAATTTCTAAGCTTCCTTCTGGCCTGCTTTTGTTTTGTTGGAGATTTTTTTTGTTTCGGGGGTGTGTGTGTGTGTGTGTGTGTGTGTGTGTGTGTGGGGTGTGTGTGTGTGTGTGTGTGTGTGTGTGTGTGTGTAGTTTGGCTTTTGGTTTTTTTCTAAACGGTAGCCTCTTTGGATAAAAAGAAAACAACTGTAGCAAAATATAAATTACATTTTAATGTGCTTAAACTACTGAGATGGGTACCCATATTGGGAGAAGACTGAAGTTTTAAAAAATGAAGAAACACAGCACTATCGTTCTGACTATGATGGGCCAAGCTCTGAAGTTCATCAGGAGGTCTGAAAACATTGAATTAAGGCCTAGAAGGTTGATAGTTGAAAATTGGCCTATATGACAAGCTTTTTAAAAGCCACTAAAGGGTACCATAAGTATTTTAAGTAACTGGAAATTGCTTTACAAGGGTTGATAGTCAAGCCTTATTAAAAGCAAAGCAAGAAGAAACAGACTTTTCAATTTTACCATGAAAGATTAGGCTTACATGCCATGAACTTCCCAGCCTAGGTAATAAAGTGCTATGTATAAAAGGGGCCCAAAAATTTCTTTGAAACCCTTTCTATGCCCTGTGGTTCTTAACCTGGAAAGAACATCACATCCCCAAGACGGTAGATTTAGTTACAGATGTAAAATTTAAGTTTGGCTATCTAAAGTAAAATCTTTGGACCTCAGAAGCTTATTCTCTAATTTATTCCATATTAGCATAAAGACTATTTGAGACTTGTCTGAGTGTGTGCGTGTGTGTGTATCTGGGTGTCTGTGTGTCTGTGTGCGTCTCGGTGTCTGGGTATCTGTGTGTGTCTGTGTGTGGTATATGTCTCTGATATGCTAAAATTTAAAACTACCAAAATAAGAGTTATCTAAGTGAAACACATCTTAAAAGTAACTGAGAATATGAAACTCAATCTCCATCTTGAGAAACCAAAGCCAGAAGCAGTATGAAAGCACTGGTGGGTTATATAGATCTAACCTGGTTAGACATTATCATTTGAAAAAAGGAAATTCAGAAAACCTTGAAATTCACATTTACTCTTCTAGAGATGGAAATACACATTTAAGAAACCTATATAGGTCCCAAATCAACCAAAAACCAAGGGGGAAATATATCCAACAATTTTTAAAAAGCAAGACCTCTTTGTTAATTACATGATATTTCTACATAAGCTATAATCAGTTTCTACAAAGTCAACTCCAGTTTTCAAGGCACACAATTGGAATCTCAAGACTTATGTAAGTAGAAGCAAGAGGATCAGAAGTTCAAAGTTAGCCTTGGCTACATAATAGGTTCAAAGCCACCCTGGGCTACATGAGACCCTGTTTTATAAAATACACACACTCAAAAAGGTTCAGTGAATAAATCCTTATTTGTTTGTTAAGTATAGTGTGAAGGTTCCTCACCTTTATAATATATAGGCATATATTTCCTCCTCTCTCATACAAAATATACACACACTTTATAGAAAAATTACCCAAAAAAGTTTTATCTATCATCCATTCTTCAATGATTCTAGAGATGATTATTTGTTTCCTTTCCTGGCTTACTTGTAACTTCTAAATTACACTATTGATCGCTTCTGTGGTGACATTCCCCTACAGTTAATGACACAAGGCATTCACACCATCTTAGAATTAGTCTGGGGAGCTGCCCAGACAGAAGAGAGAAATCATCTAGCTACCAAGTTACTGGTTTATGCCAAAATATGGCATTCCCAAAGGATGCTCTGTCTGCAATCTGTGCAGAGATCATATACAAATCTCCCATTTACTCGGATCTTCCAAAGAGGCTAGAAATGTCTGCGTGTAGAGGAGAGGAGGGCCAAGAGCTAGGAGCTAAGAATGGATCTGTGGACTTCTAAAAGTTCAGCCCTGAGATTCCAAGATTCTATAAAAGAGCAGTAAATTAGGGTTTGGCTCATATTTCCTGACTACTGAAGCCAGCATAAACATTTACTTGAGGCTTTTAAATTTGTTAAGGGTACCCAGTGGTTAGGTACAACAATTCTGAAACTGAAAAAAAAAAAAAAAAAACACAAGCCCACTGGAAACAGTTCTAAATAAAGGTGGAGCAGAGGAGATAGGCACATTTCCTTTGTTTTCTCCAAGTAAACAGTACAGGCTTCAGAAAGGCAACCTGTATTGATCTCTACAATCTTCTACTGCCTCATTTTGAACAACAGCTAGCAAGTCATACTTTTAACACTACCCATACCTACCTCCATTCAAAAATAAGAAAAACTGCTTTACTGTGGAAACAGAAACAAAATCAAACTTTCAACGTTTAGTCGCTATATAAAATATAAATCCCACATTCCCCCCCCAAAAAAATACCAACTTGTAAGTCACTAGCCACAGTAATATGAGAGTGGTAATTCAGATTAGAACTTGATGTTAAACCTAACTATACAGTATTACTAATTACAGAGAAAATTTGCCAATAAATATTTTGGTTGAGGACTGCTTTGTCATCTTCGTTAAGTATTTTTAGTTGAAAGCAAGCAGTTGGGTAGTACACATGGACATGGTTCTGATTTTTAAATATCTACTTTTACATTCTGGTCACCAGTTAGGTTTTCTAAACTCCAATTCTTTAGAACTGGTAATTTGGAAAGGGTAAACCACAAGAACATTACATTAAAAAGCAAAAGATCTAACAAGCTCACCAGTTCAGATCAACAAAGCTAAGTTGCAAAACTCAGGGTTCTTCCAAATCTAAGGATGGCTCTCCCTGGAACCGACTGGCAAGGAACATAGAAAGGTGTACATGAGCAGACTATCCTAAAGCTATGTCTCAAAGTAAGCAAGACTTCTGTGTTTCCTTGTTTTCTATTTGCAGGTCGTTTTTGGTGAGCCTCCCTTCAGATTCTTTCCCTAAAGTTCCAAGTTGGCTTCTTTCTAGTTGAACTTAAAATTTCAGATTTTAAATATGCATACCCAATTAGTGCAAAATGTTTCATAGCAGTGTAAGTTTCTTAAATAACAAACGTGGTTGCTGAAAGTCTAGCAAAATGGTAAGTAATGACCTATCACTTTTGATTCTTTTAAACAATCCCCATCTAATTTAGATCTTAAGGGTTTAAGGGATGGTGGCTCAATCCATCCACACATTTTCTTTGGAAGATTTTTGCACGCAGTGCCCTACTTCTAGAGGTAAAAGATTAAAGAACTGTTATGACTAGGTCTTTCTTAAGAGGGATGTTTTTAAAGGAAAGACACGGTCCCCTCCTACTACTCTTAATGAGCTGCCTCTTGTTCTCAGCAGTCAGTCTGCACACAAGACTACTACTGACTTCAGTGGGAAGGCCCTGACCAGGATTCAAGATTGCATTACAACGCACCCCCATCAGCATCAGCGGCTGCAACAGCAAACCAGTAACTTCTCAGAGCAGAAGGCTGCAAACAAGCTGAATAGCACTAAATGCAATTCATTCCCCACAGGAAAACCTGTACAAATATTGAGAATCCTAAACCCCATCCCCCAGTGGCAAGAAACTGACTCAAGTTTCCCTCAAACCCATGGGGAAGCGTGAGAGGGCAAGCTAAAAAACTAATTGTCAATGCAGTATTATAAGGAGATGGAGAATACAGAAATAACACGAACACATTCCCATGAAAGAACAAGAGAAAAAAGATTAAGGAAAAAAATAATTAAGAAAACTGCTAAAGCCATTTCCTTTAAAGCTAATCACAGCAGCAAGAACAAAATGCCCTGTACACACATTTCACACGCAAGAAAGTTCAAGAGACTAAGCCGTGATTCAGATAAGAGCTATAAAATAGACCCACAGCTCCTCTGGGTTCCACCCACCCAGGGCTCTAAAAGCTAGGGGCAATGTTTGGTGATGGGGAAATTTTCTGAAGGGCGCCCTCAGTTTGTTCAGAAGGCTCCACGCAGAGATCACTTCCCCAAAACATGCACTCTAAAGCGGGATCACTTCTATTCTCTCTCTCTCTCTCTCTCTCTCTCTCTCTCTCTCTCTCTCTCTCTCTCTCTCTCCCCTCCCCCCCGGCCTCACCAGAGGTTGGCATCTGGGGAGGCATAATAACTAACGTCCATCGCAGACGTCCCAGCTGGGCAACGTCTGGGATGGAGCATGTGGGTCCCTTGTCGCCAATCTCAACGCCACCCAGATTTAGCAGCTCGGCTAAAATCGCTCCCAACTCTCAGCTCCCAGCACAGGAAAAAATCCGAAGCCGACGGTGACCGGGCGGCCTGGGAGTCGCCAAGAAAAAGGACCACAGGAGAAAACCAGCTGCGTCTTCGCAGCTCCCAGACAGCGCCGGTGGCGGGGTGCAGGGTCTCTCGCCCACGCCGGGCCGACCTGCGCCCCGCAAAGGGCTGACGCTGCGCCCTCCTCGGCTCCCGCAGTCCCGACGCGCGCCGTGGGCTCGTGCCTCCCGCCCCCGAGCGACCGAGCCCCGCGCCGGGGACGGAGCCGGATGCTTCGGCTGCAGCTCGGCGGGGCCCGGACGCGTGACCCCGGGGGGGACGGCGCGGTCCTCACCGTGTCGCGGGGCGAAGAGGCCGCAGCGGAGCGAGAACTCAGCCCCGCGGGGGGAACCCGGTCACGCGGCCCGAGGGACCGCAGCCAGCCCCGCAGCCGGCCCCCTCCCCCGCCCCGGGAGGACAGTCCCGCCGCTTCCTGCCCAGGGTCGGCTTCCCGGCTGGAGCCTGAGGGAAAAGCTGCTCTGCCCCTGCAGCCCCGCGTACACCCGACCCACGCCGCCACCCGCCGCCCTGCAGCCCGCACGCCTGCTTACCCGGACGCCGCCTCTAACGAGCTCGCTAGTCCGGGGACCCGACCCGTTCCAGCCGCCGTCCCGCCGCGCCACCGCGCAGCCGCCTCCTCCCTCCGCTAGGTTTCAAATTGAAATTCCCTGGCTGGGGCCGTCAGAGAACTCTCCGCGCAGGCCCCGCCCCCTCGTGGCGGAAAGCCCCTCCCCGCGCCTGAGCTCCCCGGCGCGGAAACCACGCCCCCAGCGGGTTGGCCACGCCCAAGGGCACCGCCCGGGGTGGGAGGGGGCCCTTCCCGCGGGATTTGCGCAGCTCTGCCGCCCAAGCTCTGCGGCCCAGTGCCCGGTTGCAGGGGCGCATTTCGTCCTCAAAGCGACCCTCGAAATAATGTCAGCTAATGCATGTATGCGAGGCGTTCTTTCTGAGAATCCTGGCCTTAAATGCCCTCTCAACTTCTAAAAGTTCTTTCTTCTAAGTGCATTCACTGACTAAACCTTCACTGGGTGCCTAGACAGTAAAGCAGGTCCAGGAAATAATAGAATTAGGAAAACTGGGTTCCCCTCAGTCTACAGTGAAAGAAGTGCTTTCACAGAAAAGGCTTGAAAAGAAACCATTTATTCTTCTTGTGGGACAGACTGGAGAGATTGGGGAAACCCCGTGGAGGAGAGGGGCTTTGATGCTCAGCCCTAAGTCAGTAGCATTTCTCCTGGCAGATGCCTAGAAACCTGGATTGCAAAGTATGACAGGGCTAAGGCCGTGCCTTTTAAAAAGTCTAACTTGGGTCAAATTGCGGAAAGTTACAGAAAGAGGGAGCCTCCCCCGAGTCTTTTGTACAATTAGACCTCGATCTTTTATTCTACTTTTTTGTCTTTTATGAGCATTAGATGTCAAACTGTCAATGTCAGCTCACTGCCTCCAGCATCTGCCCCCCCATGTACCTCTTGTCCTTTGCTTCTTCCCACCCTACTAAGAGCTTTAGTGATTCACCTCTGCCAAAGTCTCTTTTTCTTTCTTAAACATCATAAAATTAGCAGTATCAAATAAAACCACGGTGACATCTGTGTGAATGTTTTCCACATAAAACAACAGTCATCTGTTTTGTCACGTGACCCTCACATTACTCCTGTGAAAAAGGCGGTGCAGGTACCATCTTTACTACATCAAAAAGTTGGGAGATAAGTTATTTGCTATAATTCTTCTTGTATATAATAAAGTTATTATGATAGCCAGCATTCATTGCATACTTTGGGTACTAGGCATTTAACATGAGTTGATTTACTTGATTACAGTCCACAAGTTAAATTTGTTATGGTATGTGCTAACACAGTAGAATCCTGATTATGTGCAGATATGGTAAGGAGGACCTGAGAATGTGTGCTGGTTTTCTACTGCTGTGAGGAAATACCTGAGATAAATAACTTAGACGGTTTATTTCTGCTTATAGTGTCAGAGGTTTCCATCCATGGTCACATGGCCCATTGCTTTGGGTGGGTGGCCAAGCATTACAGCAGGATGCAAATGAAGCAAATCATCTCACCTCATGGAAGCTGAGAAGCAAAAATTGAGAGAGAGAGAGTCTGAGGTCCCAACATACCCTCTAATGGCATATCCCAGGGACCTTACTTCCTCCAGCTAGGCTCTGCATGCAAAAGTTCCCACCTCCCAATAACATCATCAGCTGGGAAACAAATCTTTCAACACAAGAGCTTTTGGAAAACTTAAGACTTAAGTCAGGTATGGTGGTGCATGTCTTTGATCCCAGCACTCAGGAGGCAGAGGCAGGCAGATCTCTGTGAGATTAAGGCCAGTCTGGTCCACATAGAGAGCTCTAGGCCAGCTGAGGGCTACAGAGAGACCTTGTTTCAAAAAGACCCCTCCCAAAAAAGAATATTTGCTGTGTAACCACATGAGGGATCCCAGCACCCACACAATATGCCAGACATAGTCTCCCAAGTGCCTGTAACCCTTCCACTGTGGGAGGTGACACAGGAGGATCACTTGAGCTTGCTGGCTGCCAACCTAGGCAGAGAAGCTCTAGGTTCAGGGAGAGACCGGGCCTCAAAGGAATAAGTTGCCAGAGAGTGATGCAAAGGACACCTGACGCCCTCCCCTGGCTATACACCATACACACACACACACACACACACACACACACAGTGTTGATCAATCACAAATTAATCCTCTTTAAAAATACTCATGCAAAATAATAGATGATAGAAGTATAAATAATAGGATATAATAACATTATAAGAAATGACATCCCTAAATATTCTCTGTTGCAGTGTGTGAATCATTTCTACATGTCACTCTTTTTTCTCTCCCCGGATGAGAGATTGAAACATGTACATGTATCATGTAGCCCATGCTGGCTTCCAGTTTACTATGTAGCAAAAACTGCCTCCATCTTCCATGTGCTGGGATTATAGGCGTGTGCCACCACACCTGGCACTATGCCACTTTTTAAGACTATTAATGAGATAATTATATTCATAAATGAATTGGGTTGTCCTTTATGTGGAAGCCAAGAACATTTAGCCTGAAGAAATGATTTAAGGTGATTAAAAGGTTATTACTAAATATATAAAGGCTGGCCTCCACCTATTAGATGATTTTTTAATATTTTATTTATTTTTTATTTCATGTGTATGAGTGTATTGCCAGCATATGTGTAAATGTACCCGTGTCTTACAGTGCCCACAGAGGTCAGAAGAAGGCACTGGATCCCCTGGAACTGGAGTTACAGACAGTTGTTAACCAACACAAAGGTTCTGAAAATCGAACCCAGGTCCTCTGCAATAGTGCGCAGTGCTAATAAATTGCTGAGTCATCTCTCCAGCCCAGAAGGTGGTTTTTTTGTTTTGTTTTTGTTTTTTATGGCATCATTTCCATTCTTTTTTGGAGGGCAGGGGAAAGACAGGGTCTCCCCCTAGTCATAGCTGGTCTGGAGCTTTCTATGTAAATCAGGCTGGCCTCATCTCACAGAGAGATCTTGAAACCAAGGACCACACAAGAATGGAAGAAACCAACCAAATTTCACAGGTTTACCATGACAGAGCCTTATAGGGGAATCTGCCAGTTTTCACCCTGGATAGGTAATTGTTTAAAAATCAAAAACTGAGGTTAATTTTTTTTTTTTTTACTATGTATGTGTGCATGTCTGGAAGTCAGAGGACAATTTTCAGGAGTTTGTTCTCTCCTATCACATGGGTTCTGGAGATCAAACTCAGGTACTTGGGCATGATGGCCAGTGCTTGAACCATCTTCCCCAATGGCCAAGGGACAAGTGGAGAAGTGGCCCAAACATAGCACATATCCTGTGGTGGTCATTCTTACCTCCTGGGACCCAGAAGAAAACTGGTATGAGGCGGCCAGAACCCCTGTATCCTTGGAAAAGGCTTTAGGGGTCCTGGCAGATGCCTTGCCAAGAAAGAAATGGATAATGACTGGAAAAATAGGCTGGTTGTTCCTGATTGCACTGAAGGTTGGTCATGAAGATGCCCTGCAGTGGGAAGCTGGGTGTGTGAGCTGCAAGCTGTGAAGGAGAAGCTGGACTCCTGATTATATGATTTGGAATGTAACCTTCACAGGACCCCTCTACCAAAGGTGAGACAGAGTATAATAAAATGCCCCACCTGCCACTACATCCTAGACGAATCATTTGGCAGAAAATAGAGGCAGAAGACAGAGTAGCCCTTGGGTCAGAATAATCAGGCTCAAGGGCAGAGGACAGCTACAGAGCATAGCTCCTACACTCCCTGTGCCAGGACAGAACTGCAAGAGCTGGGAAAGCAGTACAGATAGGCTGGGAAGAGGGGAGATAGTCCCAGCTTGGTTGCTCATTAACTGCGGAGGTGGAAAAGTTGGCTTTTATCACCACCCAGCCCTCTCTAAGCCAGTGCTTGCAATTCTTGAGACCACAGACTTGGGTAGGACACTGGCTAAAGAGTTAGGTAACAGCTGGAGCCCATCTGCTGTGAGCGGATGCTGATGAGTCACCAGAGACAGTAAGTCATCAGGATTTTTACATGGATTTGATGCAGATAATCTGAGAATTAGGAATGCACCAGGCCATGTTTGATATAAAGTCCCATGGCCCAGGCTTCACTACTAGAGTGCTTTACTAACAGAAGAAGGGATTTGAGCTTAGCCACTGCTCCAGGAAATATATTTGGAACTTTTGGCTGTGGTACTAACCACTATGTAGGTCATCATACACAGGAGGTGACCACAGCAATGGCAGCCCTCAGGGACATGGGAAGAGAAAGGGACAGCAGTATGAGCCACCTAGATAGTCCCCAGGGGCAAAACATGGGCACACGCCCAGATGTGAGCAGACCTCATTCTAGCTAGAACTGATATGGAGAAGATATGTAACCACCCAAATGAGGTGCTGTTAGCCCTGTAGAACCAACTAAAGCCAGCTCAGCAGTACCAGGGGCTCCCTAAAAAACTGGACCCGAAACCCAGGCCAGCAGGAGCATGTGAGGTATACCTCTAAGATTTTTCTGGCAACTGTACCATGTAGACTCTCACACATTTGGGCCAGAATTGGGGCTGAGGTGCCCAGCTCGTGTGGACTCCAGAGGACCAGAGGCCTCATGTTGAACTGACTAATCATTGGTTATGCAGAGAGTGTTGTCCCTTGTTGATACTGGAGCTTTAGTCCATGGAAACCCAGATTCATTTCCTGGATTGACTGTATACACAGATGGCTATGGCAGCCTCACAATTGAGGGCAAGTCAGTGACTGTAACTTTGGGAACCTGTGGATTGTACCCATACAGTGTATGTCTCTAGTAGTTGAATATACCTCAGGGATGGATATTTGGTGGGGGCTGGCAACCTTCCAATGACTGCTGGTGAGTTTAGACTGTGTAAGGACTATAACACCCTCCACAAGTGTTGCCAGCCCCCAGGAGGGTGGTTCAAGTACACCAGTATTGGCTACCTGGGGGACAGAAAGAGGTTCCTAAGACTATTTTGCACTTAGAAGCAGCTGGTATAGTGTGGGCACTGTGGAGCCCTTACAGCTCCCCCTTGTGTCAGTTAAGAAACCAGGTGGAGCATGGAGAATGACTGAACTGCAGAGAACTGAGTAAGTTGACTCCACCACGCAGGCTGCGGTGCCATCCATCATGGGCTTAATGGAGCAGTTGACTTTGACT